GGCTTATGGTGTCTGGCAGGGCACACAGCCACGCCTGACCAGTGCTGGTGTGTTTAAAGTTGTCAGTTTCCCTCCATTACTGCAGGGTCTGTGGCACCCTGTGTCTGCCTCTGGGCAGGCTGACAGTGCTGTCCCCTGCTGCAAGGTGCTAGTGTGATGTGCAAGGCTCTGGGGACACGGCCCTGGGGTCCCTACCATGGCTTGTGCCACAGGAACATGCTGGCCCTCCTTGGCTGCTGGGGCTCAGCCTCGTGCATATGGGCAGGGCACTGTGCCCACACTGATGCTGGGGCGAGTGCCCACCTCCCTGCTCACCAAAAACCTGTCAGGCTGAGATTAGAAAATAAACATTCTTATTCCTTTAAAAGGAAAAAAAAAATCCCCAACAATCCAGGTTGGGGTTTTTTTTTATTATTTGTTAGGGTTTCTCTTTCTCTCTTTCTTTTAAATCATGAAATGACTCACGCTTCTGAGCTGAAAATAAACCCAATTACGAGCTGGTGAGCCACAACAGCACGGAGGCACAGGGTCCCTCTGAGAGCAGCCAGGGCCAGCCGTGCCCCAGACCCTCCCTGGGGCTGAGGGGTCAGCTCTGGGGGCTCAGGTGGCCCTGACAGGGCTGCTAATGGACCTAAAGTGCTGCTGAGGAGACCCTGCCATCTGCGCAGCCCTCAGGGCCTGGTGTGTTTGCACTCAGAGCCGGCTGCGGGGACACACACGTGTGTCCCCACGTGTGCACAGACACCAGTGGCATCACCCTTGTCACCCTGTCACCCTCCCCACCCTGGTCACCCTGTCAATCCTCCCCACTCCGGTCACCCTGTCACCCTCCCCACCCCTGTCACCCTCCCCACTCTGGTCACCCTGTCACCCTCCTCACTCCAGGTCACCCTGTCACCTCTTCACTCCAGTCACTCTGTCACCTTCCCCACCCTGGTCACCCTGTAACACTCCCCTCTGTGTCACCCTCCCCACTCTGGTCACCCTGTCATCCTTCCCACCCTGGTCGCCCTGTCACCCTCCTCACCCCTGTCACCCTCCCCGGTCCCTGCAGCCCGGTGCTGTGGGTGACCCGGCCGTGTGCCGCTCTCCTCAGGGACCGCAGCAGCAGTGACACTGTGCCAGCCGTGCTGCCCGGAGCCGCACACATGGCGGGTAAGGCACCCTGTATGCCCCGTTCCATCGCCCCGCTGGCTTTCTGCGCCTCCCCTGGTCTCTCCTCTCCTCGGAGGCACACGAGGTGTAACTGCTGCTCGCCCTTGCTCCCTGCCAGCTTCGCAAGGAGGGCTGTGGGGTGAAGGTGAAGGTGATGAGGACGCTGTGCCAGGCGAGCCGAGGGGCTCCAGCGGCCCCCCGGGCTCCCAACCGGACCCTTTGGTGCAGACGTGTCTCCTCCGGGATCTGGGTCCCCTCGCCCACACACAGACCTTGCGGGACTTCGAGCAGGTGAGAGGGCACTGCCGGGAGCTGGCAGAATTCCTGCCGGCTCTCCTGGCCACAGCAGCGGCGTGTGGAGCGCAGGAGGGGCGGCGGTGGCTGAGGGAGAGGAGGGAGAAGGGGCCGAGCCCGGCCGGGCGCCACGCTCCCCTCACCGCCCTCACGGCTGCGGCGCGTGGGGGCCTCCGAGGCTCGGGTTTCACCGAGCCGCTGTCCCCGCTCCAGCGATTCCTCAAATAGCTCTGGGAGGCGAAAAAAAAAAAAACCCAAGAGGGAAGGGAGAGCAGCGGGGCCAGCGACGGGAGCTGCGGACGGGCAGGGAGCCTAGGCTGGGTCCCGGCGGCGCCATGTGAGGGGTGCCGGGATGCCCGCCCCATGGAGCGCCGGCCATGGCTCACGGGTACCGCACGCTCTCGCAGCACCTCAATGACCTCAAAAAGGAGAATTTCAGCCTCAAGCTCCGCATCTACTTCCTGGAGGAGCGCGTCCAGCAGAAGGGCGAGGAGAGCCGGGATGATGTCTACCGGCGGGTGAGTGCCTGGAGGGGTGAGGGGGTTTCCTCTCTTTTCGGGGAGGGAATGGGGTGAGTAGCCAGGGGGATGCCAGGGAGAGCTTCGGGCACTGGGGCGGGAGGAGTATGTATGGGAGCTTGCCCCTTGTTTCCTCTGACAGGAGCAGAGAGAGGGCTGGGGACAGTCCCCTGCCCTGTGGGGTGCTCGGGGTGGGTGACAGTACAAGTTTTGGGGGCAGACAAATGTCCCGGCACCGACAGGCGAAAATACCACCCATGCCACTCACTAACAGGAGCACCCAAAACCCTGCCATGGCGTGGGGGTCCCCTGTGCCACTTCTGCTTCATTCCCGTGGGCAGTGGGGCTGGGGTGTCCAGGCAAGCATGAGGGCATCCTACCCACCTCCTTCCTCCATAGAACATTGAGCTGAAGGTGGAGGTGGAGAGCCTGAAGCGGGAGCTGCAGGAGAAGCAACAAGCCCTGGACAACACATGGTGAGTGGGGTTGGCCGAGCCCCTCACCCCGGGACAGACATGGTGCCCATGTCCCGTCCGTGGTGGCTTTGTGGGCACGGGGATGGGGGTGTCTGTCTGCACCCTGCCCGTAGCAAGCAGTAGAGGGACCTGCAATGGAGCTGGAGGGGTTTGCAATGGGGCTGGGCACCCGCAGAGCTCCTCTTACAGCCCTGGTGCCAGCCAAAAATAAAGGACAGCACCTGTTTGGTGGGGGAGGGCAGCGCCGTGCCCAGGGGCCATGGCACGGGTGTCTCAACGTGGGGCATTGATGGCAGGGGGGCCAGTGGCACAGCAGCTGGTGAGCCCCTGGTTTTGGGAGTCTGTGGGTCAGAGCCTAAACATGGCCTGGTGCTGCCAGAGGAGCTGTGTCCCCAGGGCAGGACACGGGGGAGCCAGGCTGAGGGCACCTCAGAGTGATAGACATCACCCAGCCCAGCTGGTTTGGGGTGGAGGCTGTCACAAAGGCTCTGCCATGCTGCACGCTGCCAAGCCATGCCGTGCTGTGCCATGCCATGGGAGATGCCATGCCATAGCAGGCTGTGGCACACCGTGCTGTGCCCGGCAGGGTGGCTGCAGAGAACCAGACGAGCCGCAGCCAGGCTGCGCTCCAGCAGCAGTATGAGGAGCGGCAGCGGGAGTCGGAGCACGTCTACGAGCTCCTGGAGAACAAGATCCAGCTCCTGCAGGAGGTGAGTCAAGGGATGGTGGGGGCCAGGGAGGAGTTGCTGCCTCGAGGCTCACCCTGCTGCCATGCAGGAGGCCAGGCTGGCACGGAGTGAGGCCGAGCAGGCCACGGCGCTGGCCAGAGCTGAGGCGGAGAGATGCCAGGAGCTGACAGGGAAGCTGAAGGAAGCAGCGAGGATAAAGCAGGAGGACAGGAGCGACAATGGCTGTGTCGCCATGGCCCAGAGGTAGGTGTCCAGGACGTGTCTCCTCTGTGCTGTCAGCCTGTGTGCTGTGCCAGTTCTTGGGGACTACCAAGGGGCTCGTGATATGCACAGCCCCTCAGTCATGCACATCTGGTGGGGTGTAGGGGGTCACCCCAATGGGGGAGAGCTGAGCTGTGGGGAAGGAGGAGCAGTCCTGAGGCTGCTGTGCTTTGCCCCAGAAATTGATCTCTATCAGCTGTCCCCAGTGTCATCCCAGGGCCAGCCCAATCCCTGAGCATCCTGTCCCCTTTTGTGGCTTTCAGGAGGATCGAAGAGCTGACCCAAGAGCTGGCTGCCAGCAACCAGCTCGTGGAAATGCTGTCAGCAGAGAAGTGTGGCCTGCAGCACTGCCTGGAGGGGTCTCCGGTCATGGAGGGGCAGGTAAGTGGGCAAGGGTGGGGAGACCCCTGGGAGGAGGAATCCATTCAGGGCTTGGCTGGTTGTCGTCATCCCTGTCCCCTTCTGGTGCTGTGCCATGTTCATCCTGGCAAGGTCTGGTGATTGCCAGGAGCTGGGAGGAGCAGGGGGGCTCAGAGGACACGGGGTGAGCTGTCAGGGGATAGGCCACTAGCCTGTGCAGTCCTTCTGCGGGTGTTGGTGCCGCTTGCTCCCGTCTGCCATTTAAATCCCAAGTCTTAAAATACTCCAGGCAGCCTGGCATGGTGCCAGGCAGGATTTCGGGGCTGTGAGAGATCAGAGCGGCATGTCCCTGGCAGCTGCACCGCTCTGGCTGTGCTGCATGGTGGTGGCACGGTGCTGTCCCCAGCGGCCGCGGGCCATTAGTGCGTGAGCTGCCCGTGCTGTGGTCCTGCAGGGACCCTGTTGTTTGCCCACCGGGTGGCATGGGCTACTGTGCAAGTGCTGTTGGCACTGTGCTGCGGGGACGTGGCCACTCACATTGCCTGCTGGGGCTGGGCAGTGGGGCGGGCTGGCACTGGGACATGGCACTGGCACTAGGGTGGGGGCCTGGCACTGGTGTTGGGATGGGGATGTGGCACTAGAGTGTGTATCTGGCACGGGGATAGGTGCTAGCATTGAGACAGAGACGTGGCACAGGCACTGGGGTGGGGATCTGGCATTGGGACGGGGACGTGGCACAGGCACTGAGGTAGGTAGGGGCGTGGTACAGTGGGACAGGCACTTGCACTGGAGCCAAGCGTCAGTGTGTGTGTGTGGCTCTGGCAATGAGACTGGATCCTTGCGCTGTCTCGTCGCGATCGACCGCTGTCCTTGTCTCTGTCGCGACCCCCTGCGCTGCCCGTCTGCCCAGGGGTGGCGCGGGCCGCCACTGCGCATGTGTAATGCGGGCGTGGCAACTACATATCCCGGCAGGCGTTGCGGGCAGTGCGCATGCGCGGGAGGCTGGGCTCGGCCGCCATCTTGAAATCTGAGCCAGAAGCCGGGCGCTGCCGTGGCAGGAGCATCCTCGGCTCGGGGCGGTGGGGCCGGGCCGGGGCGGGACGGGACGGGCAGGGCAGGGCAGGGCAGCCCGACGTGAGGGGCAGCCCTGGGGACGGGGGCTGTGAGGAGAGAGGGGGCAGCGTCGGGGGGTCCAGCTGTGAGGCGAGGGAGCAGCATCAGAGGGGCGGGGGGGGCAGCCCGGACAAGGGGGCAGCCCAGGTGTGGCTGTAAGGATGTGAAGGAGGAAGTGTAGGGTGGGATGTTTCTGTTGCACCAGGAGTCCCGGCGTGTCACCACCCTAGAAAGAGGATCGGTGCGGTGAGACGTGCCGGCAGGCTCAGGGTTTGAGGGAGATGTGCTGACCTCGGGAAGGTCTCCTGAGGGCCTGCAGGAGTAGGTTTGGAGGAGGGAGGGAGGGAGGGAGGGAGAATGAAGGAAAACTGCCGGATTTGCGGCCGGGAGCTGTGCGGCAACCAGCGGCGATGGATCTTTCACACGGCGGCCAAGCTGAACCTCCAGGTGCTGCTCTCCCACGTCCTGGGCAGGGAGCTGTGCCGGGACGGCAGGTCCGAGTTCGCTTGCAGCAAGTGTGCCTTCATGCTGGACCGCATCTACAGGTTCGACACCGTCATCGCCCGCATCGAAGCCCTCTCCATCGAGCGCTTGCAGAAGCTGCTGCTGGAGAAGGACCGGCTCAAGTTCTGCATCGCAAGCATGTACCGCAGGAACAACGACGACTCCAGCACGGAGGACAGGGCTGGGGAGGGGACTGTGGACCTTTCCAACCTGCCTGATGCACGGTACGCTGCCCTCCTCCAGGAGGACTTCGCTTACTCTGGGTTTGAATACTGGATGGATCAAGAAGAGCACGGCCTGGAGCCGCACAGCTGCCACGGCTCCGAGGGAACAGGGAGCCGCCCGCGGCGCTGCCGGGGCTGTGCTGCCCTGCGTGTGGCCGACGCCGACTATGAGGCCATCTGCAAAGTGCCCCGAAAGGTGGCCAGGAGCATCTCCTGCGGGCTGTCCAGCCGCTGGTCGGCCAGCATGGGCAACGAGGAGTCGTCGTCTGTGTGTGATGTGGCCGAGTCCACCAGCTCCAGGGTGGCTGTGGATGGGGACAGCATGGAGGAAGGCACGCCTGCGTCCTCCGTCGAGTCTCTGGACACCACCGTGGAGGCCAGCCCTCCGCAGCAGAAGGATGAAGATGCAGATAAGGGGGTGAAAGGCAATGGGAAATGCGACGATTTCTCGGATGATCGCATGACCCCGAGCTCTTCACTGAGCGGCAACAGGCTGGAGCTGGCCCTCAATTTGATCAAGACTTTGGACTACAAACCCCTTCAGAGCCCCCGAGGCAGTCGACTACCTATTCCTGTGAAGTCCAGCGTGCCCCCTCCCAAGCTTAGCCGTGACTTGGCAGATGGCAGTGCTTCTGCTGGCTTAGCGTGTGCTAGTTCTGCCTTCCTGAACACAGACAGAAAATCCTTTTCCAGAGCTCCTTTGGGCGTTCCCCTGGAAATTTCGGAGCTGCAGGAGCTGTGGGATGACCTCTATGAGGATTATATGCCGCTGCGGGTACAGGTAGAGGTCACAGCACCGCCCTTCCATTGAGCATTGTCCTCGCAGTGCTGAGCCCACTGGGGATTCTTCTGTGCTGAGATAATGCAGACAGCCACGTGTGGCTGAACGGGGGGGCTAAGAATAGGCAGCTCGGTCCTTTTTAGGTGTGCTCACTCTCTCCTCAGTCATTCTCTTGTCTCCTGTTTCCTCCTTGTGTTCTGGGAAATGAATCTTCTCCCCCTCCATCAGCCCTCCCAGACAATGCAGCCTGCTAGGTGGGTCTAAGCTCTTTGTCACTTTGCTGCTGAGAAAACGCCATCATCTTTAAGCTTAAAGCCGATGTGGCTTTTTTTCCACAACCAAAGGGAGTGTTTTAAGCTTCCGGGCATGTGTTTTCCAGCAGATGTGTTTTCTTTGTGCCTGAGTAATGGTTGGAGTGTGAGGAACGCCTGCCTCCAGCCCTGCCTCTGCAGGTCAGGCCTCCGACCTGCCCAACGTGCAGAACCACCCAGGCACCTGTGGCGTGTGCCCTGAGGAAAAGGTGTTTTCCTTGCAGGTGGATTTGTGCCAGAGGGTGACTTTAGGGTTGGTATTCAAGATAATTGGTTTATTTTCTGATCCTTTGAAAAGATCTATCAATTAGTGGCAGGTGTTGCTGAGAGGGGATGAAAGCTCCTGCTTTCGGGATGCTGTTACCTGTCTTCATAGCGGTCCTAGCTCCGGGTTGCCTGTTTTGCTGGCTTCAATGAAATGTTCTTTAGTATGCAGTCAAAAAGCCGAACTTGTAACTTCTTTACCACTTCCAGTAATGAATAGAAGGCCTCAGTCAGCTTCAATTCAGGAATATCCATGTCAGCCTAATTGCATTCCCATTAGAGCCTTAGTGCTGCCTAATGCTGTAGGTAGCCTGGGGGATTAGGAAAATGCTCGTTTATTACTATGGCAACTGCGGCAGTGCTGAATTGCTCTTCCTCTTTAGCCGCCTGCTCGCTGCCCCATCTGCTCGGGCGTTTCCCGGAGCCGGGTGCTTTTTTCCATAAGAGCCTGCTCGAGAAACGATGCTAGGGAGGAACGTAGGAAAACTCGTTTTCATCTGGAGCACAAAGGCACCGCAGCCGGCAGCCGAGGATGTGAACCAGGGCATCGTGTCATTTGCGTGTCATTTGCTGATGATTGTCACTGCTAGGGGTGTGTTTGCAGGATAAAATTGGGCTTTCTCTGAACAGCGTGGCGTATTTACAGGCTGGCTTTGTGTCACACACATGGCCATCCTCATCTAGGTACTGTGTTTTGGGGAGTTTTTCCAGCCTCTGCCATCCGACCGGCCCTGCCAGGAATTTTTCCTGCGGGATTTTTTACTGCTGGCTCCTTGCAGCAGCACAGGGTATGGCTGAAGGGGGAAGGGCTTAATCCTTCGGATGGCTTTAAAAGCAAAAATGGGAAGGCAGATGCAGCTGGTAGGCTGAATAGTTCTTGCACAAATGATTTTTCTTTCGGTTTGTAAAAGCAACACCCTTCCTGTAAGTCAGGTGCTGCTGCTGCTGTCCAGCGAATCCTGTGCATAAATATATGTGATTCCTGTGAAATGAATATCTAGAATATATAGGGCCACAGTTCTCTTACTGCTTTTGCAGTTCTTTAAATTTATGGAGCATTCTGGTGTCAGGGCATGTGACCTTGTAGATACCACCGTCCTCCCGGGGGTTTTCCTGAACCAACAATTCTCCCTTTCCCACCACAGCCCCAGGCAAGTGGCACCAAAGGGAGCCTTTGTAAGACCTCCTGACAGCCAGGCTCTTCCCCACTGTGCTGGGCAGTGTGAGCTTGGCAGGCTCAGAGAGTGCTGTGATTATTGTTTTTTAAAGAAGTGTTCTGGTGGGGTCAGCATGTACTGGCACTGCTGGGGAGAGATTGGCAGTAAAAGGCTGATGTTGGAGAAGTCGACATGGCTGCAGGGAAGCACGAGGGAGGCAGCTTGGGCTTGGAACTTTGGACTCTGGAGCTGTCTGTGCCTTTCCCCTCCCTGCTCTTAGCTCTTTCCAGGTTTTCTGCCTTTTTTTCTTTTTTCTTTTTTTAGTGTGAAAATTAAGGAAATGTGTTTTCCTTTTTTCCCCCCCTCTGTTTTAATCAACCTTACTTCAAAATAGCTGCTGTGACAGATTCCAGCAGCTCTCCCTGTCTCATCCAAAGCCTTGTGGCAGAGAAAATTTGTTATCACCATGACTGTAACTTTTCACTGAAATCCTAACAAAACATCAGAGTAGAGGGAAGTGTTACTTCTGTCTGTGAGAGGCAGTGCACAGATCTGAGGGAGAGCACAGGGATCTCCCCACAGACAGTGTTCCTGTGGCTGCTGAGGATGAGGATTCAGCCTGACAGGTCTAATTGCAGCTGACTGTTCTGGCTGTGCTGCACTGCCTGGAGCTGGTGCTTGTGTCTGTGTGCTCCAAAAATGCCTGCCACGTTTCCATGGCCTCCGTGCTGCATCCCTGCAGCCCTTTCCAGGGCTCCCACCTAGAGCAGGCACCAGTCTTGTGTGGCTGATAATATTCAGGAACGCTGGAGGAGCCCTGTGAGGGCTCAGGAGGGTGGCTGGGATGGAGTGCTGCCCTAAGGGGTTAACTCACTGGGTGGGACACAGCAAAATTGTAAGGAGGGATGACAAGGGATTAGTGTTGTGCTCAGCCAGCCGGCTCTGGCAGGCCACGTGTCACAAAGCAGGCTGTTTACATTCCCAATAAATGGGTATGTGTCATGAAAAAAAGCTCAACTGTGGCACTGAATTTGCTCCTGTTTGTGGAGCTGCAAGGACTTGTATACGCTGTGGGTGCTGGAGCACGGGAAGTGATGAAGGAAAGCCCAGAAAATCACAAGTGGAGGGGTTCAGAGCAGGGGGTGACAGCTAGGTCGTGGCAGGAGGGGAGCTGCTGGGAAGGATTGAAGGTTGTAGGCTTGATAAAGACACACAAGCTCAGCAGAACACGGGAACCATTTCAGTGCGGGTTTTGAAGTTTTCTTTTAAAACGCCAGCAGGGCACAATGGTGAGGAGAGCAGGTTTCAGGGATATGGCTTAGGGTGTGGGGAGAAGATCCATTATTAGCCCAAAGACAGTGGTTAGAGCTAAACAAACTGCTGGGCTCTTGGTGCAGCAGTGAGGAGAGACAGGGAGCCCAGTCAGAGCAGAAGAGGCCAGTGCAAGAGTTGAGCCATTCTCTCACGTTTTGCTGCTTTTCTCCTTTCAGGATTTGCAGGATGAACGTCAGCAGCCAGCTCCAGGTAGCACTGCAGCAGGGGAGCACGTGTCTGATGTGCGTGCAGCAGAGCTGCAGGGCAAACTCCAGCACTTTGAAGCTGCCAACAAGGTATTTCTTCATGGAGAGCACAGCCAGTGCTAGTGAGTCTGATGTGCTTAGTGCCAGAGGGTGCCTCCCAGCAAGGGAGTGTGCTGGTGTATGATTCTCAGTGCTGTTGTCTGTCAGCTTCAATTAAAAGCATCTGGGTTTGTTTTTTGTTTGTTTTTTTTTTGTTTGTTTGTTGGTTGGTTTTTTGGGGGGATTTTTTTCTGCAGCTGGGCTTTGTAAATTTTCCATACTTAATTTTGCAAATCATTATTTTGAAAACTTTCCACTTGCCTGGTGAGCCTTCCAGCAGCTGGTGAAGGAGAGATGCACTGGGCTGTTCCCCTGTCTCTTGGATTTGCATGGGCTGAGCCTGGTGTAGGGGAGAAAGGGTTTTTTTTTTCAAGCAGCAGGGGAGATTAATGCAGAGGGAGTCCTGGTTTCATTTCTGTTTAAATACTTGGGAAAGAAGTATGTATCTGAGTTCTCTTGTGGCAGATCAATATTAGCACATGTTGAGAAGGGTATGTGTTCTTAAATATGCTCTTGAACTCTAAGGTAAATTATATCCTCTGGAAAGACAGGTTAAATGTGGAAGAAGAATTGGGATGGAGTACTTATTTAAATCTGAGGATGGCCATAAGGTGCTTCAGCTGCCTGGACTGCAAAGCTCGACGGAAATAGAGACTCAAGGCCCAGTAAATGCAGTTAGAAATGTTTAAACAGGTTAGGGGGAGTGTCTCAGAGAAGAGATAACAGGACAGGTGTGTAAACTAATGAACAACAGGAAGAAATTATGTGGCAACACCTACAAAAGCTGAATCCTGAGTAAGTTTATAAGAAGAGGTGTATCATCCAACTGTGAGAATGCTAAGAGGCAGCACGTTTGAAAATGCTAATAAGCACTTGTTAAACTGCACAACATGTGCTGTGTCATGAGCTTTAAGGTGAAAGCAGCAAACTGTCCTGAAACTGTTTGAGTGGGTGGTGCTCTCTTTAGGGTGAGAGTGTCAAAGGTTTCTCAGGTTGTAAACCCGCCATGGAGACTGATGAGAGGTTCCCCTTTGCAGCTGCTGGCAGTGGCCAAGCTCTTTTGTGCTGAAGCCGGGAATTTAATGCTAAATAAACCGCTGATTTGATCAGTGAATGAGGCTTCTTCATGCTGATATTTTTCATTCAGATTTTCGGGAGGATTTTGGGCTGAAGCAGCCCCTTTCCTTTTGAGGAAACAGAAACAAATGATAGAAACTGGGAGGGAGGGCCTCCTGGAGTATGTGGGAGGCAGTATGATCTGTGAACCCAAGCCTGAAACCTCTGCCCTGCACCTGAGGGAGCAGAAGCAGTGCAGTAAGTCCTGTGAAGGGCCTTTGTGTGTACTCACGGGTCTCCACCCAGCTCCAGCGGTGTTTACAGACTCTAGAGGGAGCCACGTTGATCTCGATGTGGTCAGAGCTGTGTGGAGTAAGGAGTGGAGGGAGTATTAAGGGTGTTTACACAGAGCATTAAGCAGGATTAAATAAACCCAACCTATTTCTGTCTTCAGTTGTTACAGGAGAAGCTGAATGAGTTGAATTTCGAATTAAAATCTGTTCAAGAAACATCACAAAGGCAAGATCGTACAATCCAGAGTCTGAACGAGGCCCTGAAGAGCAAAGACAGTAAGGTAATAGTTTGGGCAGGGTGGTGCTCACCAAAACAAGGAGCTGTGCTCTAGACCTGTGGGCTGAAAAGGAATGCTTGAGCCACTGCTTGGCATCCTGCATCTCAGTCAATTATTTCTTGCAAAGCCTCTCATGTGGTGCTGAGGTGCCATAATCCGGGCTGGAGGCTTTGCATGGGAGAGTTTGTGCTTGGTTTGTCGCTGACTGGGCTTCCTGTGCTTGACTCAGACAGAGGAGCTGTACCACATCATTGAAGGGCAGAATGAGACCATGGCCAAGCTGCGGGACATGTTACACAGAAACCAGCTGGGACAGCTGCAGGTACGTCCTGGAAAGCCTCAGATACATCAGCTTTTATTCTGCAGGGATCCTGCTTTTAAATCCCTCACGTGAAGAGAATCTCTGAGTTTCTCTGAGCTCTGCTTTTTGGTAGGTGTCAGAGAGCCCACTGTCACCCCAGGAGCAGCAGATGTCACCACTCGATCTCCAGAACACGCTTTTCTGCACCAAACTGGAGGTGCAGAGACTGAAGAGAGCTCAGCACCAGAAGGAGCATCAGCTGGCTGAAGCCAAGAGAGCAGCCCAGCTCCTGGAGACCACGGTACATGAGGAAGAGCAGCAGAAAGAGGCAACCTGGAAACACAATCAGGTATGACAGGCACTTAGCCTGGAAGTTTCTGTGTCCACAGAACTAAGGAGCACTGATGTAGTCAAGACTCTGCTCTTGTTCACCATTTCTGCTGACAGCATACTGGGCACACTTACCTAACCTCTTGTACACACAGCAGGGAAAATTCTCCTGCCTTCTTAGTGTCATAGCTGAGGATTAAGAATTATTAAAGACCCTTGATAGTGAGTGTGTTGTCACTTGTATATCATTGGCTGGTGCAAATGTCCCATCTCTTTTTGTGATGTTCATATCCCCTGCTGCACAGCTTAGTGATTGACTGAAGCTCTGCCTATGGCCAGAGCAAGGGGTTTAGATGGATGGATATCCTGGGCAATGAAATAAATTCAAACACCATGGCAGTGTGTTTTGAGATGTGAAAGCTGTGGCATTGCAGAGCATTTTTAGCTGTTCCCACAGCCCTTCCTCAGACTGGCCTACAGTTTCTGGTTGTGTTGAGGACAGAATTCCAAATTACATGCTTTTTCCTTGTAGGAGCTGCGTGCTGTGGTACAACAGCTGCAGGCAGAGCTGCAGGACAAGGCTCAGCAGCTCCAGACTTTGGAGTGGGAGAAGAGCCGTGAGCTGCAGGCCCAGGAGCAGAGAGTTCAGCGTTTGACTCAGCAGCTGGCTCGCAAGGAGCAGCTTCTGCAGGTGAGATGCAGAAAGACTTGAGCTGAGCATAATTCAATGGAGTCCCTGATCCTCCTTTGGTATTTGGCCATGCAAAAGTCTGTCTGTAGCTTTCATGCATGCCCTTTGAAGAAAGGGAAGGGAGGAGAGGCTTCGGGGCCCCCAAGGCGAGGAATAAGGCACAGATATCCATGTACATCACCCCACAGCAATGCCTGGTGAGCCCTGGCAGCTGCTGGGACTGCCACCCTTTAATATGAAGGTTAGAGCTAGCATCAAGTGGAGGAAGTTATCCCTGATTCTCCTGTGCTGCTCTCGGGGGTGAGGGAGGTTTCTGTACTGTCAGTTGTACTAGGGAGTGTGTGTGTGATCTCTAGGAGTCCAGGGAGCTTCTGCAATGCCAGCAAAGCTTGGAGAAGAGCCCTGCAGCCATGAACGCCATGTTGGAGAAACTGCAGCAGCGTGTCAGTGACAGGGATGCTGCTCTCGAGGTGAGCACATATTGTAGGCAATGTTTCAGTTGTCCCTTAGGCTCGGCCTTTGGGTTACCATCACCCCTGGGGTGACATCTCCTGCATGGCTTATCCTTTGAGAGGAGTCCCCCTGGCAGGGGGAGCTGCAGTCCAGCACATAGAGGGGAGTGTGTTGGACTCACGCAGTTCTGGGCCATCCCCTGTGTCACACAGCGAGCAGTAGATGAGAAGTTCAGTGCCCTGGAGAAGAAGGAGCAGGAGCTGCAGCAGCTGCGTCTCTGCATGCGGGAGCGCGGCAGTGACCTGGAGAGGCTGCGCAGTGTCCTGTCCAGCAACGAGGCCACCATCCACGTGAGTGCTGGTACCTGGGCCTGCAGAGCACGGCTCTGGGGACCTGGTGTTGGACAGACCTTCCTGTGAATGCTCTGGGGACAGGTGTTTGCCTTCCTCTGGCCTTGTGTGTGGGGCAAGTTCTGGGTCACTCTGGTTTCGTAGAGGACACCTGGAGCAGATGGGTGAATCTTTGTGACTCTGCTAGCAGTAGAGACTGGCATTTCCAGTTTTGCTTAATTCAGGATTAAGTTTATGTCCCTGCTTGAGCTGCTTCTCTTGTGTTACTCAGAGCCTGGAGAGCCTCCTGAAAGCCAAAACCCTGGAACTGGAGCAGGTCTCAGCAACCTGCCAAAACCTCCGCTGGCTCAAAGAGGAGATTGAGGCCAAATCTGGCAGCAGGCAGAAGGAGCAGGAGGGCATCATCCAACAGCTGCAGACCTGCCTGCATGACAGGAACAAGGAGGTGGAGGTAAGGCCTTAGCTTGGCTTCCTGAGCCTTCAGCCAGTTTGTCCATAAAGAGAGTGGTCCCAGACCAGAGGCTGCTGCCTCACCTGAAGCTGTGCTCAGAGTTTGGAGGCTGGCTGCTTTTGGCACTTGAGCGTACCTGTGCCTTCTGACACTGCTCCCTCGGCCACACTCAGGCTGCAGAGTCCTTGAACAACTTCCAGTCTCTCTCCTTTCCTCCCCCTTGCTCAGGAGCTTACAGCAACTCTGCTGTGCAAGCTGGGCCCTGGGCAGAGCGAGGTAGCAGAGGAGCTGTGCCTGCGTCTCCAGCACAAGGAGAAGATGCTGCAGGAGCTCCTCAGTGACCGCAACCGTCAGACCATGGAGCACGATGCTGAAATTCGGGAGCTGCTGCAGGCTCTGAGCACCAAGGAGCAGCAGAGCAGAGTGAGTTTTGTGCAGGGCCACAGTGGGAGGCTGAGGTGGGTGGCCCTGACTTTTGTTAGGCAAAGAGAAGCTCCTGAGCGGGCTGAGAGAAACAAAGGAATTTGTTCCTCTGTACATGAGGGGCTGGTGAGCAGAGGTGGGAGGGCTGCTCTGGAGTGGGTGTGAGGGGCCAGGAGCAGTAACTGCCAGGCTAGTTTGCAGAGCACTTGGAGTTTCCAGTTGTAAAGGTGTTAGTTGGTAGCTTGTCTTTCTTTTCTTCTGTCTTTACTCAGAGTTAGGATTAAAAACACAAAGGAGATGAATTTTCTTGTTTTCGGGCCTGGCTGTTTATTAAATCTTATCTAAAGTACAGAGTTCTGTAACACTTTTAGCTACCAGCTGAAAGCGAGCAAAATAGAGCTGAATCCAGCTGGTTACAAGGTCTTTTAAAGTTAAACAGTCCAATAAAGAACTAACACCTATATTATTTATACTTCTGACCCAATAACCAAACTACTGTGACCCACAGTGCAGCATTAACTGTCTAACCAGAATCTACTACCTGAAACCATGTAGAAGAAGGAAGAAGAAGACAGAAAGGAGACAACACCCAAAATCTTCCATTTTGTCCCATACCTATTACTATATTCTAAAACCTTCAAATTCAAAACCCTTCACCATGTGAAATCACACACTTTTAACTACACACCAGTGATGTTAACTCCATCACTCAAATTTGGAAGCTTTCTCCAAGGCCTTAAATCAAAAGCAGTGTTCTCCTGGGGGTCAGTGCCAGAAAGCACAGATACCTCAAAACTCCAAGGTTTCTGGGTTCCAACATGCAGTGATAGAAAAATATTGAGATGGTTTCCCTTAGTCTATAAGGAAGAAGAGGGAGCAGGATCCCACCCCCCTGGATCATGGCCCTGTCCCTAATTTTCCCCCTCAACTAGGTGGCTGCAGAGAAGATGGCACAAGCTTTGGCTGAAAGGAGCTGTGAGCTACAACTGCTGCGCCAGCACGTGTTGGGGAAGGAGCCTGCTGGGACCCAGTCAGCTGGTGCCAGGCCATTGAAGCAGGACAAACAACCCATGCAGGTGAGAATCATGCACTGTGTTTCTCTGCCTTGTGGCTTCAGAAAGAACTGATTGCCACAGAAGGAAATAGGAGAGAGAGAAGAGCACGACAGAGAATGATAGAAATGAAAGTGGGATTACCAGAAAGACTTCTTATAGGAGGAGAAGAAACTGAGGAGCAGGAATGCTGCCTGAATGTTCTGATCTTGATTTCACCAGCCTTTGTCACTTAGTGTCTCTTTTTGTTTTGATAGAGCAGTAATTGAATCCCTGGGGCACGTGAGAGTATGAAAGACATCCACCCTTTGACCTTCCAGCATTGACCCACTCCTTCCTTGGGCTGGGCTGCCTTGCTGTATTGTAATCCCCTCCCTGACACTGTCACATTCTGGAGGGGACAAGAGAGCTAAATTTAGGTCCCACTAATTCTTGGCAGAGCCTACTGGCTGTTTGCTGTCTCTTCCACAATTGGAGTTGGTATTTTTAAAGCAGCTTTGCTAAAACCCCCTTTGAGGCTGAGCACAGCTTCAGGGCTGCATATGCCATGGCTCCTACTTGAGCAGCTGTTAATGGTTTATTGGTGAGCTGACAGTGTTGAATGTTTTTAAGCAGCTGTAAACAGGTTTCTATTCTCAGCTCTAGAGACTTCCAGGGATGTGTTTTCCTTCCTGCATGGTCTCTTTGGGCCACATCTGAGATAAAGAGTCTCAGTTGAAAGATTGTCATGCTGCAGTTGAGTGAAACCTGTTTAATCTTTACTGTGAAGACACTTGCTGCCAGCAGCTTCCCAGTGCCCAAATCAAACAAGGCCAGTGCCCTCTTCCCCACATATACAACTTCTGGGTGCAAATCATTTGTTCCTGCTGCCTGCTTCATTGTTTTTTCGCATTTTAGAGGTGTCAACAGAACAGGCAGCAGCTTTGCTGCAGTCTTGAATTCTGAGGAAGCTGTGTGTTCCCCGTGGAAATGCAAACCAACAGATTTTGTTGTTTTCAGGAGATACTGCAAAGAGCCTGTGGAGCTACAGTTATTTCTGGATCCTCACAGGAGGACAGCAGCTGCAGGACACAGGGAGGTGAGTGTGGGACAGCTTCTTTTGAGGTCCCCAGATATGACCAGGGTTTTCTGCTGTGGGGAAACATGGTTACATAAAACTCTGGGAGAGTAGAGAACTTTGAACAAGAGAATTTTGAAATAAAGCTCTGCTTCTCTTCTGAGTGATATCTGAGGATGGGAGTAAGGGAAAGAGAATGGCTTCTGTTCAAGATCTGATGCTGTCCACCTGAGAGTTTTGGACTTTGTTTCAGGCTGAGCTGAGACAAGTGTAACTGTTTTGGGTTTTGCGTTGGGACCAGGACACTTGAACTTTGGCAGGGGTAGGACAGCAGGACTGGGATGTTACCATTGCTTTTGGCTGCTGTTGAAAGATCAAGCAGGGAAGAAGAGCATTTCCTAAGAAACAGTGTGATAGGAAGCACAAGCATCTTGCCAGAGAGGGACTGTGTGTATCCGGGGGTGTGAACTGGCACATGGTGTTCCTGCAGTAACCAAGCTGTCTTTGCAGTTACAATATCAGCAGCAGAGCTGGAGAAGGATCTTGTCAATGCCAAAGAGGAGCTGGAGCTAATGGCAAAGAAGGAAAGGGAAAGCAGGGTGAGCTTGTAATGGAGTCTGTGCTGATCACCTTTGCAGACCTTAGGGCTGCCCCTCGCTGGGGGTTTTGGACCCTACTCTTGTGAGGGTGCCCCCAGTGTGAGCAGTGGGGCAGCATCCTGCAGGGGGGTGTCAGAAGTCTCTGACAGGCTTCTCTTCTCTTCCCTGTGCAGCGAGAGCTCACTGCTCTCCAGTCTGTGGTGGCCACACAGGAGGAGGAGCTGCAGGTGCAGGCCTCGGATATCGAGTCCTTGACCAGAACCATCCAGATGAAAGAAGACCTCATCAAGGTGAGGTGCTGTGCTAGGCTGGCTGAGTTCCACCTGGGAAGGCTGCAGAGGAGTCTTTTGGTCCCCCACATCCTCGTAGCAGGCTGGCTGCCTGTGGATACTATTGCTGCTGGTTTGCCTACAGTTCTCTGGGTTCCTTTGGCCAGAAGGCAAAGGCCCCAAACCCCCAGACTGTTCTTATTTGGTGTTTTGCTCTTTCTGTACCAAACACCCTCCTTCGAATCCTTTAATCAGAATGCACTCTTCTTGTGTCCCTTCTTGGTTCTTACTGAACACTCTGGTCTGTGCCTAATCCACTCTCAGTGCTTTGGCATTTTTTTCTTAGACCTGGATCTTTCCAAACACTGGAAACTTCTGGCAGTTGCATTCCGGGGAGGTTTGTGAAGGTCCAGCTGTCTTTGTTACTGATCCCTTCCTCCCTGAGCTCACCTGCTGTTTGTTGGGTTTCAGGATCTGCAGATGCAGCTGGTGGATCCTGAAGAAATTCCAGCCATGGAAAGGCTGACACAAGAAGTGCTGGTGCTTCGGGAGAAAGTGGCCATAGCAGAGTCCCAAGGACAGGAGGCTACTGGAAACAGGAGGCAGCAGGTAGTGTGCCAGTGGGGCAGGCTTGGATGTGTTTGTATTTCTGCTGGTGCTCGGTTCTGAGGCTTTGTTTTCAACCTTTGGATACACCAGGGTGTGCTTGTTCTTGGAAGCTGGCTGTGTGGTTGTGGGAATACAGAGAAGATCAATTCTCTTCAGCACTTGTCCAAAGGGCAGAGTATTTTGGGAACCCAGGGATGACATAGACCAGCTTGGACACAAGCAAGAGAGGAAAGGGAACCCCCACTTTGTCGGGGATAACTAGATACCTGCTTTGATTTCTGTCTGCTGAAGAGCTGCACCTTGTCTCTTCTCTCCAAGCAGTTGTTACTGATGCTGGAAGGGCTGGTGGCTGAGAGGAATCGGTTAAATGAGGCTCTCCAGGCAGAGAGGCAGCTCTATGGCAGCCTGGTGAAATTCCACACACACCCAGACAGGTAAGTGAGGCTGCCTTGGCTCTGTGCTGCCCTGCTCTGCTGCCGGGGCAGGCGTGGCTGGTCCAGAGGGGCAATCCCTGGAGCAGGAGTCATTCTGCAAGTCTGAGAGTTTTCAGTGGGGAAGAGGGAGTCTAGGCAAAGGATCAGCCAAATGCCTCTTTGAGAGTCCAAGTTTTAGGCTGCCATTCTGCTGTGGCCAGCTTTAATGGCTCCCTAAACTCCCCCCATCCCCATGGGATTTCCATCTCTGTTCTTCAGCTTATCTTTTCCCAGCTCAGTTTCCCACCCACACTTGGCCACCTTTCAGAGACTGCTGTCAAGTTCTCAACCAGCTGTTGGGTTGATAAGGATCTCTCTAGGTGCTTATCCAGGCAGTTGCCTGTCCCCTGATTTAATCCCCTGCCCTTCACAGGGCTGCAGCCTCTGGGATATTTGAGCTACCTGATAGCAAGGGAGCACATAAGTGGAGTGCTTGGGAAAATACTGCAGAACAGCTGTGCCCCCAGGCGCCCAGCATGGGCTGGGGCCTTTTTTGGGGGTGGCTGTGCTCTGGGGAGGTCGGAGGTGAGGCGGGAGGTGGCTGAGCTGCCCGGGGAGCCCCCGGGGCTGTGCTGGCTCGGTGTCCCCGAGGGCGGGGCCGCTGCGGGCTGCGCTGGCTGCAGCCTGTCTAACCCTCTTCCCTCCCGTGCCGCGTGTCCGCTCAGCGCTGCGAGAGACCACGCCCTGCAGGTGGAACTGGAAGGGGTCCACGAGCTGCGGGGACAGCTGGAAGAAGCTCTCGGCAGAAGCTTGGAGTGTTTGAGCAGGCTGGAGACGCAGGGCGCCATAGGAGGTGGGGAACAGGAGCGTGTGAGAGTCCTACCCCAGCATGCCTTCTGAGCACTGGCGCTCGCCTGCCTGCCACGGAAACGGGTCACTAACCTGTCTCACTGACTCTGAGCTTTGGTACTTAGTGATGGTACGATAGAACCGGTGCAGGGCTTTTGTTTTGGTTTGGTTTTTTGTTTTATTTTTGAGCTGCTTTGGAAACGGCGATCAGTGCAATCCACCTGTGTCTCGTGTACGTTCCTGTCTGCCCCCACCCTGGTGGCCACTGATGTATTTGCACATTCAGATCATTCCATTTTAGTTATTCCTCTCTATCTCCCTTCTCTTCCCACCACCATGGGCCAAATAAAGATTCCCTATCTCCGAAGGAAACACCAGATGTTTTCCATCATCTCCCAAGTGCATGAGTGTGAGTTTTTGTATTCCCTGACCATTTTTCTGACCCAGTGACATCCACCCTTTGGGTTGATGGTGGCTGGCCCAAAGGGAGACAGCCTGTATGGAAAAGTGTGTTCCAGAGACAGAGAATTCAAGACCTGGGGACACTTACCTAAGCCTTTAACACAAGACTTGAGTGTAGAACCAGCAATTCACTTTATGCTTAAACCAAATCCTACTCTAGTGTTGATGATTTTACTGACTGGCTTTTTTTTCCTAATTGTAAGTTGTTTCAACCTAACTTGTGAATGCCTTCATGAGAGAGTTTCCTCTTCTTTTTGACAGAGGGTTTGGGGGGACTGAGACCTGTCCCTGTTCCCAGGGTCTGGGCTGGGTCTGCTCCCTCACTTGTACATGCACATATCCCTTACATGTTCCATGTGCCCCTTGGGTCATGGACAGGACCCTATTTCTGAGGTGCTGGGATCTGTCCCCCTCAGCACCACTGACATACCTTTTCCAGGCCTTCTTCCACCTCCTCTGGGAATGTGGGAGAGCTCGTGTGAAAGCTGAAAAACAGTAGCAACAACAAACAGTAGCAACAACCTTCCAATGGCCGGGGCTTCCCATGCACAGTGGGCTGTGGATCTGCTGTCTTGTACCCAATCACTGCTCAAACTGGCAGGAGCAAATTTTGCATCTCTGAGCATCTGTTTGTGCTTGCTGGGGCAGGCAGAGCAGAAGAACTCCATGCTCCTGGGCTGCACACCTGGACCCGTGCCTGCTCTGCTGCATGGCTCCTTGCAACTGCTTCAGCTGCCTTGTGCTGCCCTGAGGGCTCCTCCTGCCTGTGCCACACGAGGATGGGAGGCAGCAGAGCTCTCCCTTTGCACACAGCAGGTCAGCACTGCCCCTCTGGGTCAGCACTCAGCTGCATTGTGACTGCAGCAGTTCCCCTGTGGCTTGGAGGGACACAGCTCTGGATGTTGTTAGCTTTTCCTTTCTTGTGTTTCATCTCATTCCCTTCCTCTCAGTTCTCTTTGTAGCACCATCTTCTCTTCATCCTTTTGCTTTTCACTTTGTAGAAGCCTTTGTGTCCCTGTTCTTACCTTTCCATTTTCCCTCTGCCATCCTGGCACTGATGCCCAGCTGGCCCCCTGGTTCCTTGGGTACCATGGAGCCCAGGACCCAGCCCAGACTGATTGGCATGGCCTGAGAGGAGTCTTGGCTGGTGCTCAGGCATCTCTCTTCTCCACCTGTCTGTTTTGCTGTACATCTGTCCCTGCCTTAGTGTTAGCATCACTGCTGTCAAGTGCTCCTTAGGGGTAATCTTATGCTAGGCTCGGATGCCCCAGCTTTTCTGGTCTGTTCTTTAAGGCCTCCTCTTATGCCTGGTAGTCCTGGCTTAGCATTCCCTATCTGAGATCACCCTCTGTCAAACTGTGCAGTGCTTTGTGCTGTCTCATGGCTCTTTGTGGGAGTCATTCCTTCCTCTCTTCCTGTCCCTTATTCCCAGCAGTGTGAAGGTTCCCGTGCAGCCAGTGTACCTGTGTGTCCCAAGGTGTACAATTTGCAAGCATGTAACTAATTCTCTGTGCCTTCAGTCTGGGCTGAGAGCCCGAGGAGTCTGTGGAAAAGCAGAGCTGTGGATCTGCTCAGCAGCTCTTGTCTCCTGAGCTGGTGGCACACACAGAGCTGAGCAGCCTGCTGTGATGGGGGGTGATGGACACGTGGTGATCACCAGCCTGGGCACAGCTGCCCTGCGTGCACCGTCTCTGCTCCTCAGCACCAGCTTCCTGTTCTGCCCCTTGTCTTTAGTTGATTTTGGTGCCCTTTTTCCTTGAGAATTTCACTCCCTCTTACTCCTCAGCCCTGGAGCTGTGGGCAGTGGTTAGAAGTGGGATGCTGTGCCCTGGAACAAGAGCTGGTTCTCCCGTGTTCCCAGAGCAGCGGTGTGTCCCCCTGCTGTGACACATGCCATGGTCACCTACCTTGAGAGCCTTGTGGCCCTCAGCCCCCCAGCAAAATCTGCATCCCCTCACCCTCCAGGGCCCCACAGGCACTGCTGTCTCCCTGGCTGCTTCAGCAACCAGCAGGTTCTGTCCCTGGGGGCTCACAGGGCTGTGCTTTGGCTGTGCCGAGTGCCACCTACAGGAGCTGCTTCTTCCCTGCGGTGTTGCTGTCGCTTCTTAGAGCTGTCACAGGGCGTTTTGCTCCCAGAACAGCAGTTCTTCGTGATGGCTGTCCGTGCTCCCTGGGACAGGTTCCACCACGCAGGGTGATGTCTACCCACTTCTGCACATTTCTGCAGCCTCATGGCACGCCTGGGTCTCCTGAGTGTGTCCCCATCCATGAGCACAGTGCCCTGTGCAAACGCCTGCTCTGCTGCAAGGCATGTTCCTGGTTGCTCCTTGGCTATTCTTCCTGAGAGCCAGATGCATCCTGCTGGCTTTCCCTTCACCAGTGATGCTTGGCATCTCTGTGTTCCCCTGCTCTGTGTTCTGCCCTGCCTGGCAGCTCCAGAGTTGGTGGTGGTAGATTTGGCTGCAGGCAAAGCAGTTACCTCTCCTTCACAGCCCTAGGGGATAGTCTTGGTCCTGTCTAAATGTCTGTCCCCCTGAGGAGAAGAGGGATTTGGGATACACCCATGTCCCAGCTGCCCAGACAAGGGGTTTGAGTCCTCACCCGGGTTTTGGCACCAAGGGGACAGTGCAGAGTGCTGTGCAAGCAGAAAAGTGTGACCCCCAGCTCTGCCCAATCTCCCCATACACTGTGGTGCGGGACACAAGTGTCCCTTTACCTCTGCAAAGCTAGCACAGGGCTTGCAAGGAGCCCCAGGCCATGCCTGACAGCACGGCTTGGGGCAGGGTGGCTGCTCCCTGCCTGGTGGGGTGTGCACCCCAATCCTCCCACCGGGCTGGGGCGGCCCAGCGAGGCTCCCTGACCGAGCCTGTGCTGCTGCTGTGGCTTGTGAAGCGGCTGCAGGGTGGCTGGTGCATGTGCCTGCGTGTCAGGGCAGCAAGCACGAGGTGTGGATGGGACAGGAGCCATTGCTGTGCTCCCATCCCCGGGGCTGTCCCCTCCCTCAGTGATGGCCAGCACAGGGTCCAGTGTGTAGGGAGGGGTGGCAGCACCCAGGGACAGCAGGGAAACCTCTGTCCAGCCGGGAGTATCCCAGCACCAGGTGTGTATGAGAGCAGAACCTGCCCGCAGGGAGCAGGGAGGAGGGGACAGACAGTGCTGCCAGTGCCGCTGTCCTGAGCGCCTTGTCGTGCTGTGCTGTCCCCTAGGTCAGGCCGCAGGCACACACACCGATGCCAGCACCAACTTCACCGACAGCATGAAGGAGGAGGCAGCCCGAGGCTTGGCAGCCCAGCAGGTGAGTCGGGGCAGCGCCACGCCGGGAACAGCGGTGGCGGAGCCGAGCTTTGCGCCACCTCCAAACTGCTTCCCAGCCCTTCGGAAACGTCCCTGTCACCCTGTGTCTTTGTGCCTCTAGAGCAACCCCCGGGCCCACAAGGAAAATGGGGGCACTGAAAGGAGCACAGCGCCCGAACGGGAGCTGCGTGCCGAGCAGGAGCTGCGGGAGCTGAAGGCGCAGCTGGAGGAAGCCGGCTTCTCCTCTGTCTCCCACATCAGGCAAGAGCTCTGCGGTTCTGGAGCCAGGGGTGGACGGGGCACCCGGCGTCTGCATTCTCTGCCTGTCCTTCACTGTGCCTTGTGCCCCCAGGAAGGCGATGCTGAGCCTGTGCCTGGAAAACGCGGAGCTGAAAGAGCGGATGGGTGAAGCCACGTCGCTGCTGGAGAGCGGGGAGCAGGAGGAGCCTGGGCTGGCTCCTGAGCACCGCAGGCTGCAGCGGAAGAGCCGCGGCTCCCTTGGGGATGGCCAGGGGCTCCCGGCAGAGAGGGGAACTGTGCCCACCAAACGCCCAGCGCTGGAGGCTCGATCCCAGCATGACATGCCCAAGAGACCCTGCCCTGGCAGCCCGGCTGGAGGGGACGGGAGCCATGTAAGTGCACAGGGAACCGGGATGGAGATGAAAATAGAGATGGGGATGAGGGTGGAAACGGGGAGCTGACAGCCCATCTTCCCTCCGGCAGGTGGAGGGCTCGGTTCCCGGCGGGGGCTGGCCAGGGCTGGGCGCAGAGTTGCGCTCCCAGGTGGCACAGGGCCAAAGGCAGTGCCAGGAGCTGCAGGACAAGCTCGCTGCCTCGGAGGCCACGGTGCGGGCACAAGCTGAGCAGCTGGAGAAATACCACGTCCTGCTCCGTGAGTTAAAAGCCAGGGTGGGGTGGGGTTGGGTTGTGTTCTGAGCCTGGTGTGTCCTGAGCACTGTGCTGGGCGTGGGGCAGGGGTGGTGAACCCTGCCCGGGGGGCCCTGAGCTGATGGCACTGCCCAGCAGGTGAACCTCAGACACAGCAGCTCAGCAAGCAAGTGCAGGTGGACTTCCAGGACCTGGGCTATGAGACCTGTGGGCGAAGTGAGACCGAGGCTGACCGTGAGGAGACCACCAGCCCTGGTAAGGAGAGCCAGGGTGCTAGGGATCCCTGTGCTTTGCCCACCTGGCATAGAGAAGTGACACACTGTACTCTCTGCAGAGTGCGAGGAGCCAGATGTGTTCAGTGAGACCAGCTTGGGTGAGGAGCTGGGGTCCCCATGCCAGCCAGGGATGTCCAGAGGGGGCAAAACTGCCCAGAAAACCATGGCCCTGGAGGATGTGGAGGCCCTACACCAGCACATCCAGGACCTCAAGGCCCAGCTGCTCAATGCCAACAAGGTGATCCAGAGCCTGCAGCGCCGTGCCCGCTCCATCTCTGTCACCAGTGGCTACACCTCGAGTGCTGAGCGGCCCCTGCCAGCTCCCAAGGCCTTGGCATCCCCAGCCCACAGCCTGACGGACGAGGACGAGGGCTGGCAGTCGGATGGGCACGGCACTCTGTGTCCCCCTGCCCTGCGGGCACACCGTGACCTGCAGAGCCTGGTGCACCGCGTGGCCCTGCTCGAGGCACAGCTGCCCACAGCCAAGCATGGAGCCACCTTGCCCAAGGAGCTGCACTCTGCCACTTGGCCAGGGTATGGCCCTGGGGGCTGGGACTGTTTGGGGACATACAGAGAGTTGCCCGGGCTGGTGGCTCCTTGTTGCATGGTTTCCCTGCAGGCAGGCTCCTGGGGTGTTGGTGTGGTGGGGCGGAGTCCCAGCAGTGGGTGATGCACAGACTCCCTCCTGGGCACTTACTCCCTCCCGTGTTCCCAGGGAGTCTGGCTGCCCTGTGAACACCCTGCTTGCCCATCTCTCCTAGGAAATACAACTCTCTGATCCAGGCCCAGGCTCGGGAGCTGTCCCACCTACGGCAGCTGCTGCGGGAGGGCCGTGGGGTGAGCCGCAGCCTGGCCCAGCACCTGCAGGACGCCCTGCGGTCCTTCGAGGACCTCCTCCGTGGCACTGACATCGACTACTACCTGGGCCAGGGCTTCCGGGAGCAGCTGGCCCAGGGCAGGCAGCTGGCTGAGAGGCTCAGCGACAAGCTGGGCATCAGTGAGTACCTCTAGGGGGCAGTGGGGCTGGATGTCATGGGTGTGTGATGGGTCAGGAAGGGATGCTCTGATGGGTGAAAAGCAGTAGACACTCTCACATCATGTGGGATACCCGCTTTGTCCTGTCCTGCTATGGCTCTGTGTGGGACCAGGCATCCTGAGGCATGGAGACACTGACTGACTCTTCTCTGGCTTGCTTTTTCAGGAGATCGACAAGACGGGGAGGATAAAACCAGTCATGAACTCTTGGCACAGAGGTACCTGTTCCCAGGGAAGGGTTTGTGGCACGTGTTTGGCATGGGATCTCTTCCTTAGGTGGATGTCCTGGGGCTGCCTCTGCTCTGGGGCACTCTGTATTTCTGAGCAGCCTTGCATCACTAGTGGGACATGGCATTTGGGGCATCACGTAGGAGAGGGCTGTGGGATGGAGGTCAGACCTGGTGATGATGTACCACCTCTGCAGGCTCAGCCGGGAGCTCCGGGAGAAGGAGAAGGTGATTGAGAGCCTGGAGGTGAAGCTGCAGGAGCGCTCTGAGTCCCCAGGTAGCAGCTGCCCACCCTCGGAGTCATCCCACTCTGCCAGCAGCTCGTCCTTCACCTCTGAGGGGCTGGAGCCCTGCTCTGATGGGGATGCAGCCAGCGAGTACAGCCAGTGCCACGAGGAGCCTGCCCAACACACAGGTACTGCAGGGGCCACAACTGCAGTGCCTCTGGACACAGGGACTTGGCTTCTCGGGGTGTGCCAGGGTCCCCAGAGCCCCAGGGAAGAGGACTCTCTGTAGGCTGAGCCAGAGCCACTGTAACACCTCTCTCCATCTCTCTCCTGTCTCTAGGCCTTCACTTTGACTCTTTGTCCAAACCTGTCAGTGCCCCCCTGCCTGCTCTGGCCCCTGGGCTGTCCCCCTTCCTCCCTTCTGGGCCCTCTCTTCCTGTGGCCCCACCACTCCTGGGCTGCTGTGGGAATTCTGTCTGCTCCCTGGCTGAGGCACAGCAGGAGCTGCAGGTGCTCCGGAGGCAACTGGGAGAAAGTGAGCACGCTGCCTCTTGGCTTGGTCCTGCCTGCCCTGCATGCTGTGCTGTGACACATCATCCCCCACCCTCTCTGACCTGCATGTCCTGCCCTTGATCTTTTCCTTCTTCTCTGGGCTATGGCTTTGAGGTTGGGTCCCACTGCTCTGGCTGGGGGACAATGGGAACATGTGGCTCTCATGTAGAGAGGACCTGGTGGGTTGGAGGAACCCATCCAGAGACCGCACTTGCCCTAGGCGTAGACACTGGCATATCCCAGGTCCTCTAAGAAAAGGCTGATCTGGTAAGTTGTGTAGGAGTGGGACTGAGACCCTCCACCTTGTGGAGACACCTCATCAAGTCGTGGGAGGGCCCCTGCTCTTCAGGGGGAATAGGTTTGATTGGGACAGGAGGTCAGATGGGGGACACTGGACTGCACTATGGTGCAGAGCAAGAAGGGGAGGAAAAGCAGACAGAGTGTATTGCCACATTCTTTCTCCCTGCTCATTGTCCTTCTCCTCCTCCCCACTTTGTCCTGTGTGTGCAGGTGTGACACTGCCCCTGGCACCAGCAAAGGCCACGGTCCCACTGGGCCCCTTTGGAGAAGGCAGCAAAGCCCCAGCATCGTTCTGCCCACACGGAGCACTGCAGGGCCTGGCTGAGCTCCCCGGGGCCGCTCACAGCCGTGCCCTCTGGGACGTGCCCCCGCCCGGCCAGCTGCTCTGCGGGGCCCTGCCCCTGGGGTACCCCTCGGGCCAGAAGCTGACAGGTATGCTCCATGCTGGGGAGCACAGGGCATCCCACCTGCCTGTGGGGGAAATGGGAGGAGATCCGGCACTACAACAGCTGTAGGACAGGGCTCTGCTCTGGGGATAGAGAGAGGCACGCCCCTCCTGCCCTGAGCTGTGTCCCTGGCTGTGACAGGGGCAGATCTGCTGGAGGAACACCTGGTGGAGATCCGCAACCTGCGCCAGCGCCTGGAGGAGTCCATCTGCACCAACGACCGGCTCCGGGAGCAGCTGGAGCGCCGCCTGGCCTCCACCGGCAAGGCCAGCGGTACGGGCTACCGGGACCAGGCTCTGCACATCCCTCTGCTCACCCCGTGCACTGCGGACAGACACTCAACTCTGCTCCCTCCACAGGACTGCCCAGCGATGTCTATGCCCAGACACCGGAGCTGGGGCTGCAGCTGAGCAGGGAGAACCAGGCTCTGCATGAGGAAAACCGGACCCTGCGGCTCCAGCGTGACCACCTCTCCCAAGGTAGGGCTGCCAGCATCCTGGGGCTGAGTCCCACAGGGCACTCAGTGGGGTGGTGGTGACACCTCCGTGCTCTCTGTCCCCAGAGCTGGCACGGGTGCAGGAGGCACTGCTGGCTGCCTGCTCCCGGGCACGGGAGGCTGAGGCAGAGCTGGGCCAGAGGCGTGGCAAGCAGCGGAGGCTGGCGGAGGAGCTCTCCGAGTGCCAAGAGAGCATCCGGCAGCTCCGAGACGAGCGGCGCTCTCTGCAGGAGGACAACAACAGGTAAGGCTTGGGGCATTGTGGCCTTGGGGCCGCAGGACTGGGAGGGATGGCTGGCACCGGACCCACGTGTCGCCTCTGCAGGCTGCAGCACTCAGTGACGCTCCTGCAGCAGCAGAGTGAGGAGCAGCGCCTGCTCCTGCAGACCCTGCGTGCGGAGCTGCACGTCTACGAGAGCTTCCCTGGCCCCTCTGCTGAGACACGAGCAGGTATGGGACCCATGCACAGCATCCCTGCCCAGCTCCTGCCCTTGGGCTGCCTGGCCCCTCTGCAACCCTGGTGGTGCCAGACACTTCTCCTGTGGCAGCAGGTTACACACAGTGGCCCTGCTGGCAGACGGAGAGGGAGGGCAGGATCCAACAGCCCCAGGCACGGAGCCACATCTGTCTACAGGGGCTCAGATGTTTCTTGTTCCAGGCTGCTTCCCATCTCCTCCAGTGCGTGATGTTGGCACTAACTCATCAGCTGCCCTGCTCTCCCCAGTGCCCTCTGGCACGTCGGTGGTCCGACGGATGGACGGTGGGTACCAGAGCCTGCCTGCATGCAGGCCTCAGGGGCTGCTGAGATCTCATGGACTCGTGGCAGCACCCTCACTGAGCAGGACTGGAGAGCTCAGGGCAGAGCCAAGGGCCTGGGATGGGACAGGGTGGGTGACAAGGGGAGCGGGCAGTGGTCCTCACCTCACCCAGCTCGCTCTACAGAGCCACGTGGGGCAGACGTGCTGGCGAGGAAGAGCGAGGCAGTGACGGGGGCTCACGTCGTCGGGCGCCTGGACACATACCGAGCCCTGGAGCAGCACGTCCTGCAGGGAAAGGCCCTGGCCCGGGAGCTGATGTGTCTCACACGCCCAGCACTCGGGCTGCCCAACTGCGCGCTCCCGGGAAAGGAGGTAAAGCGTGGGCAGGACGGGGCAGGCAGCAGCTGGGGGCCAGACCCTCAGTGCACCGTGCATTACGTGGCTCCCGAGCCCAGAACCAGCCCTGAGGCCTGCAGGGGCAGCTGGAGGCGGGGAGCCTGCAGCCCGGGGAATGCTGCTGGCACCGCCCTACCGTGCTGGGCTGAGCAGAGCGAGTCCCCGGGTGCAGCGGGACGGCGCTGCCCCGGCAGCACCTGCTCCCGCACCCTTCTCCCACACCCACAGGCCCTGGGATGGACAGGCACGGGGCAGGGGCATCTGTGGGGCAGCGCCAGCACTCTGCACGGCATCCTGGAGGAGTGTGTGTGTCTCCTCACCGCCTTCTGGAGCACTGTGCTGCCCGTGAGCCCTGCCCAGCACCAGGGCAAGGTGAGCAGGGACTGGGTGCCGGCAGGGGGCTGGGGCTGGGCGCTCACTGCTCATCACACTCCTCTGTCCCAGGAGCAGCTGCTCCAGGGCGAGATCGCGGCGCTGCGGGCCCAGCTCTCCGAGAGGGAGGATGCTCTGCAGAACACGGCCAGGAGGCTGCACAGCACAGCCCAGCTCAAGGACAGCATGGAGCAGTTCATTGTCAGTCAGTGTATGTGCTCTGGTGGCACAGCCAGCCTGGCCTGGTCCCCATGTGCCCAGTGTGGTTCTGCAGCACAGGGACCTCACTGACCCCATCTCTCTCTCCTGCAGTGACCAGGACCCACAGCGTGCTGCGTAAGGCCAGGACGAACCTGGAGGTGAGTGTGCCCTGGCCCATGTGGGATAGGGGTGGGTGTCCTGGTCCTGATGCCCTGGGGATGGACACAGCACACACCCTGTGGTGGCTGTTGTGGAATGCGTGGGGCGACACAGGGACACATTTTCCTTGTCTGTCCTCAGCTAGCATGTCCTTGTCCCCAGGGCACTTCCTTATTGCCATGTATCATCTCTTGCCAGGTGAAGGCCCAGCAGGCCCTGCCTGTTGCATGAGCCCTATGGAGGGCCAGGAGCAATGGCCACATGGAAGAGCCCACTGGCTGCTGAGCCATGCCAGAGGACTGGAGCGGACCTTGCCCCTGCTGCTCTTATGGCTGGGGTGGAAAGGGGTCTGGGGTGTCCCGTGCTACACAGTCAGTGCGTTTGGGCTGCTGTGGTGGTTGCATGCCCTCCACCAGCCTTTGCTTGGCATGGCAGCAGCAGCTGCTGGCTTGGGCTTTATCTGGCCCATGATTCAGCACTTGCTCCCTTCCACCCTCAGTGCTCAGAGTGGGGTGATACAGCCCCCCGCACTGAGCACCCCTTGCCCTGGGACCTGGTCCCCTCTGTAACCCTGCTGAGTCCCTGTCCCTGCTTGTGGATGTATGTATATGTATATAGACAGAGGTATTGGAAATGCGTTCTGGGCACTCCGGACACGTCGGGGCCCCAGCGCAGGAGGAAGATGTAAGAAATGCCATATTCTGTTCAGTGGCTAAAGGGTCCCCAATAAAGGTTTCCTTTGGGTTGTGGTGTTTCTGGCATGCCTGTCTCTGCAGCCGTGCTCCCCCTCCCCAAACTACCTGCAGCACAGGGTGCCAAAGGCACTGGCTGTCCCCAGGGGCGTGGCTCTGTGCCCTACCCTAACAACACAAGGGCAGCTCTGTGCCACACTGGGCGCTCCCTTTCCTCCTCTCGCTGTTCTGGACCCCCTCTCCAACATGAGGCGAGCAGCACCGAGAACAATAAATACTGTAATAAATAGAGAACCCCTGGCACTGCTGAAGCAGCAGGCACTGCAGCCGGGGTCCTGAGTGCCTGCCCAGTTCTGTTCTTCCCAGGCCCCTCCAGCGTGGGCATGTGCCAGTGCTCCTCTGGCTGTGACAGTCAGCCCTGTCCCACAGAAGCAACTGATATTTGGGACAGGGTGATGCAGCCCTTGTGGTGCTCTCACAGCAGCAGGTAAGAGTGGCTGTGTCCAGCTGTACCATCCATCATGCCGGCTCGACGAACCTTGCTGAGGGCTGGGGCTGCAGAGCCCTCCTCAAAGCTGGGGGGCAGCCCCACAGCCAGGGCTGTGGGACAGGGGGCAGGTGCCAGGCTGGAGTGTCACAGAGTCCCTAGCAGACAAGGTGACCTTGGAGACTCATCACCAGGGCAGCAGCGCAACCTTCAGTACAACAGGATGTGTTCCTGGAGCCTGGACCGGGTGCAGTGCCAGGACCACCTTGAGGCCCTTGCAGGGTGGAGAAGACAGGCAGGGTGAAGCCCTTTTCGTGTTGGGCGTGAGGAGGGGCTGTTCTGGTGAGCAGCAAAGTGGTCCCAGAGACTCACAGAAGCCAAGGGAAGCTGCAGGTGGGCGGAAACCAAGGGCTAAACCACGCCAGTAGGATGGGACAGCGTCACAGGCCCCAGTGACCCTGAGCTTGTTGCCGGGGCCCGTGTCCCTGCCAGGTTTGAGGCTGGAGCCAGTGGCCAGTTGTCACACAGTCCTGTGGCCCAGTGTGTGCAGACAAGCGGCGTGTCCTGCGTGGGGAGTGTGTGAGGCCCTGGCTCAGATGGGCTTGTACAGCAGCGTGGTGACGTACTTCTTCTTGTAGCGATGCGTGGCACTGAGCACCATCACGCCGTCCTGCGGGAGGCACAGCGTCAGCATGTGGGGCCAGGGCACCCCAGGGGCTCAGGGAGCTGCCCCAGCCTTCCCCTGCTGTCCCCAGTCCCACAGCCAGCCCAATACACAACAGGGCATGGGGCAGAGCAAGGGCAGGGTCCCATACGTGCTTAGCTCACCCACGCCACATGGAGGCAGCTGAGAGGAAATGTCAGCAAGTCACACCCTCTGCCCCTGTGCGTGCCACACCTCAGCAGGCAGCCAGGTCCCATCTCCACCCCCCGGCTGAGCAGGTGCTGCAGGCTCCTGGGAGCCACAACAGCTCCTCACCGGCAGCCTCGTGGGACCTGTGCTTACCTTGATGGAGAGCGCGTAGAGGTGATTGAGCATGACGTGGTTGGGCTCAGGCAGCAGTGCTGGGTCACACTAGGAGGAGAGCAGTGTCACAGGGGAACAGCAGAGCCCTGATCCCCCAGCCCCTGCCAGCACAGGGAGCTGCTGTCTCAGGCAGCTCGAGCTGCCACTGCCTCTGGCTGTTCTGAACAGGAACAGAGCTCAGCTAAGCACCAGGAGGCCAAATCGGTGTGGTAAATGGGAAAAGTGACACTTTTCCTAGGAACTGCCAAGGGCTAAAACCCAGCCAAGGGGAGCCCAGGCTCCCTGCAGACAGGACTCCCTTTCTGACCCCAGGGTGGCTCTCTCTGTGGCAGTATGCTCGTACACACCGAGATGTTGGTGTCCTTGTTGAGGATGACCTGGAGGAGGTGAGGTGGGAGGATGGGCGGGGATTTGAAGCGCTCCTCGGGCCGGTATACGTACATCTCTTGGCCATAAGGTCCCGGTGGGGAGCTGGATAAATCTAGAGAGAAGACAAAGGCAGAGATGTGAAATGACTGAGGCAGGATAGATGAGCACAGAGCAGCTCCTAGGAAGCTGAGAAGGACTCAGCAAGGTCTTTCAAGCACAAACATCCTCCACAAGCCATGGCGAAGGATCTATTCTATAGCAACACCTCAGCCTTTCACAGCAGAAAACGCAGCTGGGCAAGCCCCTGGCAATCCCAAGCAGGGCTGTGAGCTGGTACATGCACTGACACAACACAACAAGCACTCCGTGGTACCCATCACAAGACCCCTCAAAGCACACAGCTCTTGGCACAGGCAGGTCCCTCTCCCTGCAGGAAGCAGCTGGCTTGCTCCAGAGCTGTGCCCTCAGCAGCAGGGGCACAGGGAGCAGGTTGCTCTAGGTGCTGCCTGATGAGGAGGTCTGGGGAAGGCAAACAGGAACTCTGAGCAGCTGTTACAAACATAGGAGAGACCTCAGGAGTTCGTGGTCACTGAAAGCTGGACTGGCTGCATCTCCCAGCTACATCTGATCTGAACATTTGGGAACAGCCAGCCCCCCAGAAGGGCTCCATCTTCTTGGGCTGCTGCTGCTTGCTGGCTTCTCTCCAGCAGAGTGTCTCTGCCCAGGCTGGGAAAGGACATGGAGCTGAGCTGTACCTGAGATGGGGCTGTACCAGGGACAGACAGATGACTCAGCTTCCTGCCAGCATTTCACACTGAGCCAGCAGCACCAGTGCCTGCATGGTAACCTAACCTGCTGCTGTAACACAAGGAGACAGGGAGGTTTGCAGTGTGCTAGCACTGCTACAAATTACCTTGGCGTGAAAACCAAGAGTAGCTGCTGAAAATAAACTGGATCCTGCTATCACCTAGCTTGTACCCCGGATCAGATGACTTACAGTTGACCAGACAGAAAGGGCTGATGTTCCTGGCATTTCCCAGTCCGAAATGGCTCCCTCAGCCACGCACAGGCAGCAGCTCTGCTCTGGGATGGTGCTAGCACAGAACAAGTTACACCAACACAGCCCCTCCAGAGGAACCAGGCCTCAGCTGTGGGCTGGGGAGGACACGCTGCCCAACACTACTCATCCCCACACCTCTGTCCAGGGGGTCTGTGCACCCAGAGCAGAGGAGGTGGAAAACAGCACATGCAAAGCTGTAATGCCACAAAACTCACCCCGACCTGAGGTTTCTGAGCTTTCCAGGGAATCCACCTTCAATGCATCAAACACCTCAAAGTCAGACTTCTTGACGTGGATGAGGTTGTTTATCGTCCCCATCTGGCTGGTAACCACAGGCTGGAAAGAACTGGGGTGAGAATCTTCCTATGTTCACCTCCAACTGAGGCACATTCAACGCTTCCTAGATCCTCCCAGTCCAAGCTGGCTTTGCTGCAACGCTACCTCTGAGCACAGGTGGCTGGTGTCCCTCTCTGCCCTGCACTTGTAGATCTCTGCTGTTTACCCTGGGAGGATTTTTCCTTTATCACAGGCCCCTACATCACCTCCTATTTCCATCCTCCATCCTGCTACATGCCCATGGGTAGGTGTGTTGTCCTTCCCATGCTTCTCCTGCATGATTCAGTTTGGAGAACCTGTAAATGAGTGCTGACCTCATGGTCCATCTTCCCATTGCCCATTCTCAGTGGGACTTCAGGGCCTTCTGGCATTTCCCTGCCCTTTCCCAATGCTTCCCCATAAAGCATGACTAAGTCCTGAGGAACCAGCCTCTGAAATTACTCAGGGGCCTTTTGTTTCAGGAGATAGTCTCTGCTCTCCCTGTTCCCTCTCTGCTGCAGTTACATCCTGTCTAGTTCCCTGAAGAAAACAAGATCTGCAGAGATAAAGCTTGGAGCATTACCTCAGATGGATCATGGACCCACTGGCCATCCACAAAGAATTTGTACTGGTGCTCTCCTTCTGGAAGGTCCAGGATAGCAACGAAGTCATTGTGGCTGTGCAGAGAGAACACATGTGCAACGGCATCACCCTGTTGATGCTCTGAATGCTGCTCTTCCACGAACCCCAGGAACCAGCACTGCCCAGCCCCTCCACCCCAACACCTTCCTGCAGGGTTAGGCTTGCTCATCATCAGTGGTCCAAGGCATGAGAAAGTGGATATGACAGACACCCTGTGCAAGCCAGGCTAAGAAGAACATGTGGGAAAAGCTCCTGCCCTGTACTGGCACAGCAGGATGGGAGCAAGTGAGACAGCTCTGTTTGTCAAGTCTGAAACTGAGATAAACTCATTCCAGATTAGCTGCTAGAGTCCTCCATGAGCTTCCATGTAAGTCACAGATGTACTGCAGAACAGAGAGGACACCATTAGGGCAGGAAGATATGTGAGGGACAAACAACTAACACCCACTGGCAGCAATACAACTAGGCATGGGTAATGCTGCAGCCAAGGGAAGAGCTGACAGCTTCCAGAGGACTGCTGCATACCTGGGCAGGGCTCTGCTGCCAGCA